CGTATCGCCGCGCGTCGCCACGTCGAACAATTCGGATGAATATTTCTGTAACGCATCCACGGACCCGCATTGCGCCGGCTTTCGTTTTGCAATTTAGATGCCGGTGTGCGAGCAGCCTATTGAATATTGATTCTTTTAGCCCAAGTGTATTCGAAATATTTCCGACGGAGAAAGCGGATAATGGTCGCCTACCCTGTCGTTTGACGACATTAAATTTAACGCGCCACGTCAAAACCGGATACCGCAATCCCTCCCTCCCTCCCTCCCTCCTCGCTCCCTCTCGGCTTTTTGCCGGGGCAACGTTTAATCTCATTAGCAGTCGCTGACGCGCCAGTTGACAGAATTCCGAGACGTTTCGAGTTTCGAATGCGTACACATCGAGAGGTCGCGACCAAAGTGACGAGAACGACGGATACACGGTCGTCACGCGAGATATATGTTTGCTCCGTTTAAACAACGTGAATCGTATACATATTAGAGCAAATGTCGGCAGGAAGAAAAGCAAGAACCGCGGAAACACGTCGAGCCCGTCGTCGAGCGGCGAGGCCATAAATTCTGCCGTACAATGGGGACAAAGCGTTAAGCGGGATGTACAGCGCGAAAAGAAAGAGTTTTCATCGTTGCGTTTGTTTAAAATATAAAAAAAGCAAGAGAAAGAAGAGAAAGAAAGGTTCGCTTATTTTAAATATCATGGGAACGATCCACGGCGTTAATTCCACGCGGGACAAGCGCCGAGCGTTCATTATACGAAGAGCGAATAAGATTCATGTAGCGCTGAATTTTCTTCGACAGATCCGTATTCGCGGATTAATTATGAAACCGACGCGGACGGCGGCTCATCGTCGAGGGTGCCTTCGCCAGAGACTATATCGCGGGCTCTAATTAACACGACGGATATGCGATTCTTTCGACCGTTCATGCCTGCGCGGGTATCAACGGCACGCGGGAGAATTCATGAACTGCCCGGGCTTCGTCTACGATGGAACCTCTTCTTGTTCGCGTGGTATTCTAGTATCGCTCGAGGACGCAGAAATCTCCGACGTTAGTACCAAAGACGCAAAATGTTGAAACAAAAACGCGCAACCCATTTATGAATATTTTACTGGTAGATGCTCTCTCTTGTTTCGTATAATGAGCAAGGCGATAAAAATACACCGCGTAAAGATAAATAATTCAGTGAACGTGTGAATAACAAGCGATAAACTAAACTATATAATGACGAACTGAACATGAATATAACAATGTAAATTATGCAACGACACAAAATTTTCCATGATCGTAGCATAGTTGTAATACTTAGCAAGGTTGTTATTTACGCTCAGGTATTTACAGATATTGCAAATATTTGGATAATTTAATTGTTTCTCAGCGGTAGGCTAATAGTTTAACGTCACAGCGCGAGGCGAACTGCTCGAGCGGGTATGAAAAATGTAAGATTCCGTGGAAGATGCTTGGACAAAATTAATTAACGTCGTCGTTCCTAGCGCGCGCTACATGTTTTCCTTCCTCTCTACTGTAACGAATTAATCCCGGCGCGAATCAAAGGGAGAGGTTGCCTCGCGCTGATTCCTGTTTACATTTTGCGGAATCGCGAGAATTTCCAAAGGCAGGTAAGGCGAATCTCACGGGACTGAAATTGTGAAGGGAGAACCGCGGTTTTATTCCCGTATTTGTTCTCATCGCGTACCTTTAGCTTGAGACAGTAACCAAAACGTGTATCGTGTTTGTGCTGCGACAAGCCGCAAAAGATTTTCCTATGGGATATATTATAAAGTATTACTATATAAAAATGTAAAAGAGACTGGCTAATTTACGTGTATGGCACAGCGTGAAATACGTCCAATTTAACAGGCTTATCATATGCTTTTCGATTTTTTACATTTTACATTTTATTATTTTATTATTTCCATTTTTTTTCTATCATCAAAAAGACTATTCGCCATTCAAATTGCATTAAATTAATTTCTTTCTTTCGTATTTCTTTTCGTCCTTTATATCTTCTTCCTTTTATATATTAAGCGCAAGATACTTCGACGCAAAGATCGAGCGATTCCACGTAACTTTTCTAATTTGTACATGGAATTTCTCTCCCTTGTTTGATTATTATTGGCTGAAAGGGAAAACTCATCTCTCTAGCTCTTCCGCAGCCGCAGCTGTCCGTTTCGAACACGAGCTGGGTGCCTCGGCATTGTAATAATTATCGTTCGAAAGCCCATTTCTCGTCTCTGTCGATATCAATGCAAGCCCGATAACCGCCGTCGGGAAGAGTCATTCGCATCCCCGCATCGAAGATGTCGGCGACGTTAATTGCAACTAGGGCGATCCTTGGATCTTTGTAATTAAACGTTATATTGCTTCGAAGCAGAAAGGAGATACGATTGGCAGCGATGTATTTGATTACGTTCGCTGATGTTTTCAACAAAGATTTTAATTATAAATATCGGCTCGCCCCACTTCCATTTCCTGCATTCGAAACACGAAAATCCTCATTTATCGATTAATGATTTTTTGTCGAACATGTGGGATACAATGTGCGCCTATTGGGAGTTACCTCTCTACATCATTTTTCAATGTGACACATTTAAATGCAGGATTTTATCTTCGCACGTATGTTGAGAAAAACTCGGTACCCATAAATTTTCCAGAATTATAAGAACAATAACGTAGCGTTTATCGTCCGCGGCGTACATTCCCTCACGCGGGAAAACATCCCCTCGCGAAATTACCCACGCGACTTACAATAAAACGGCGCGTCGTGTTACGCGCTTAGAAATATTGCAGGTTTTATCGGTATTCATGAAACTTTTACTCGGTTAAAGAGAGGCACTCGTAAACTTCACTTATACTTAAAAAAACTATCGATTACCCGATCCGTTTGTTAAAAAAGAGTTGACCGCACTTGGCTAGACACTCTCTCTCTCTCTCTCTCTCTCCCCCCCTCCTCCTCCTCCTCCTGTATTCTTGGTTTATTCCAAAAAGTTGTCTTGGCGAGCAAGCGGTACCTTTGGGGAACCAAGCTCTGGATATATGTCTAAAGTCAGGCATGGAAGGAGTTTCGTGGGTCTTGCTAGCGGGATGAGTAATGGGCAGGTCTGCGTACTGTAGTGAGCAGTTTGTCGTCGAAACTAACCAAGGTCCCTGGCAGCTCATTTCGCAGCAGGGCACGTAATTCAATTTCCATGTAGCGATTCCCCTGCTCTGGCCTCGTGCTCGTCCTTCCCGGCCCTCCCGGCCCGAACCCGGGTGAGAACCGAAATTATCTCGAGGCGTCACTTTGCCAGGCGCGAACGCATTCTCGGGATGTTTGCACGCGCCTCGAATGTCAAAGCGAGTCTATTATCACATCGTGCCTGTACCTGTAGTTAGTCATATTACACAGAATAACTAATAAAATCCTCGCCAGCCTGAAATGGCTCGTTTGTTCTGATGCTTTCTGTTTGTTGCAATCTTTGTATACCTACCTCTCTTATTCCGTTTTTATCGAATTTATATAAATGTTCTCATATAACTGTTAATAGACTACGGTATACATTATAAAACATTTCATTTGACTTCTGGATGGATACCGATGATAGTCCGACGCGAAAGTACGGGATTAAATCGAGTACTTCGTTGAAAGTGGTTTAGGGGAGAAACGACGGAAGGATAATAAACGCGAAGGCGACGGTCCTTTTAATCTTGAGAGGATAAGAGTGCTCGAGGACGAAATCCGATGAGGATACTGAGAGGCATTGTTCATTTCGACGATATAAAACGGGATTGTGCGATCCGACGCGAACTGGCTTGACTTCGTTCTCTCAGAAGTGACTTTCCAAATGTGCGGAGAATAAGATTTTCTCGGGAATTAAGGGACCATTCTGCCTCCTTTTCTTCTTTCGCTTTGGTAAAAGTCAAGTAAAAAGAATTGACTTTACTCTCTCCCTCTTTCTTTTTTCTCTCTCTCTCTTGAGAAATAGCAGCCTCCGCTCTGGGTCTCATCGTAAAATTTGGCAGATCGATGATTTATTCCGAAAAGTTCGAATTGGATCGCGATATTAAAGATTCCGCGCACGGAGTGATCCAAATAAATGCACATGCAGAGAATATGATAGGCATGCTGATTCTTTTGGATGTAGCGGCGACCGCGTCTTGAAGTTTAGAGTTTAGACCCATCCCGAGATTTGATTCTTAATTACTTCATCCTTTTACCGGCGATAATTTTGTATAGCTGACTGTACGATCTGCGAGTCAAAGAGCCGTGGAAATTTCTACAATCCAATTTGTCAATCGAATCTTGTTGAGGGAACCCGTTAAAAGTTTCGCCACGCTCTTTTTTCCCGACGAATATGTTCCGAACTCGCATAATCGCGTTTATTACGCGAGAACCGATGCTGAGCAGGGCGCTATTGCGAATAAACGTTACGAAGTGATTCCAATTAAGGGCCATTATAGGATCGTTAATAATAGCGCGCGGCGCACGAGGTCGATAACGTTGTTTGGGCGTAGTGCGCGCCGGCTGTAACGGATTGCGAGGGAACGTTACGAATCTCGACGTCATTAAGTCCCAGTGGACTTACGTTATTTATGAAACCGTATAATTTTTTAATATAAATTAATCTTTCGCAGTGCTCTGTGTGTAGTAGCATTAAAATGAGATTCTCGAAAAGTGAATACTTGACGAGGTATTTCATGAATTTTATTCTGATATATTCTGACACACACACACACACACACACACACACACACACACACACACACACACACACACACACACACACACACACACACTCTCTCTCTCTCTCTCTTTCTCTCTCTCTTTCTTTCTTGCCGTAATATTATTCTCGCGCGACTTTAATAGACTTGTGTAAGATATTTCTTTTTTCGAAGAACAACCAACATCGGGCTGTAGCTCGTCTGTGAGCACGTCTGTGAGCACGTCCATAATATCCTCACTAATTGTCACTACTCCGCAAGGATAAATTGAAAAAAAATTTTGTTAAATGTTACTTGCATTTTTCCAGGATGCCTAACGAGAAGGTATGTGCCTGTGGCGTGACCACGGACCTGTCCAAGTCACGAAACAGCTCGATTGTCATGGGAAAGCTGACCATCCTCCTGCCTAAGACGAAGGGCAACAAGTCGGAGGGCAAGGACTCGCGGAAGCAACCCGATGACGCGCGGGTATCGAAGACTCGAACATCGAGCGAGACCGGAAGCAGCAGCGCGGTGACGGAATCCACAAGATCTACAATAAAGAACAGCAAGCACGAGAAGCGGCTCAATCACTCGCGGAGGACTCGAAGCGCCGACAGAGCCGAATCGCATTACACTTACATCGGTTAGTCCGCACGGACTTCGTTAATTTTATTCTGATGTCGAAAGAATTTATTCTGGAATATTTATTATGCTCTAGAGTATATTTTTTTCGAAGTAGCCAGATAGTAAAATATAAATATAAAATATGTAAATAATATATTATGTGATGCACGAAAGTTACAAGGAAAGAGAGATAAAGAATTTGTATTTTTGTTTCTGATGGCACTCTCTCTCGGCAGATTCGGGTTCGAGTATCCTCGGCGATGGGATTCGTGAGAACCATATAGAGGAAGCGCTGTATGCCACCATACCCGACACGCCGAGTGTGAGTATCAGCGAGATCGGCACGAGTCGGTCGAATTTGCAGAACCGATCGCAACCTCTTTACTCCGCTATTCCGTCTATGACGTCGCCGCCGCCAACGTACGACGTCGCGGTTGCAAAAACATGGCAGGTAAGATTCGCCGCAGTTTATTTTATTGTCTGTTATATGACTCTTTTTCCAGTTTACGTTGATATCGAGTAAATAAGCAAAGAGCCGCGCTAATGATATTGCTACGTTTCCCACAACGTTCCAACCTGGAGCTAAATTCAATAGTAAATTACTTTATAATAATTTAACTCGTAACATCCGAGCTAATTTTCATGAAATTAAACACGCATACGACAAAATACCAAAAGCAACGAATTAAAGTCTCCTAATTTAAATTTAATTTAGGTAATAAAATAACGTAATAATATAGCATCTTTATGATGCTAAAAAATTAAAATTTAAACTCAACATTAATCCGTGCTTACTACGACCATTTTATTTTAGTTAAACCTATTCTCTATTTCTCGTCTCTCCTATCTTAAAATTCCACACGGTTCCAAATAACTGAAATGAAATTCCTTGACTTATTGTTAAATAAGTATACTAGTGATCGTACCGTCAATCAGTGTTATAATCTACTTCTCCGGTCGTTGATCTGCGTTATGTATAGACCTGGTTATTCGAGTTGCAACTCGCGCTGTTGAGCGTTTTAAGAAACCCTTCTGCAAAATCGTCGGGCGTTGCCGTTCGAAGCGGCATGGCATCCTGAATGTAACAATACCGGACCATGTCTATCTCGAAGAGAGAACTGGCTTAATAAATAATTCTATGTTATTACTTCCCTACAAACTGCCTTTCCGACGAGCTGTTATTTCAACGAAGATAATATTGCGCAGTTACCGTTTGCACAATGAAGTTTCAGTGCAGCCCAGGCGGACGGCAGTTCCCGACGGCGCGGTCAATATTCTACAATGGCCACAATCGGCATTCGGTCATTTGTAAGAGCGTAACGCTCGTAAAGCAATAACAGCTGGTTGGACAATAGTTACAAATTGTCATCGTCTCCCGCGTGCTTTAAATGGTACAACCGGAATATTAATTCCCGCAATCGTAGATACTTTGTACTCCATGCTGGCGCGCTGATATACAACGATCCGGTCGCGACACATGCAACGAATCAACGACGATATACCGGTACGCTACGGCTGGTTCCGCCCGATAAAGCCGGTTATTCAATCACATAATATCTCGAGTTATCGAAACGAATTATCGCTCCATGCTGCGGGTACCGCGGTCGCGATAGCTCTTGCCAGGAATGCCGTCCGTCATTTGATTTGTATTCCGCAGCGCAATTTCGTGACGAGCAGATGACGAGGAAATTGGCAGCGATCTAACAATCAGCCACCACCCCTCGAAGCGTCCTGAAGATCGATAATCGAAATGAGGCGCGTCCAGACTGGAGTATTGTAATCGATCGGTGGAATCACAAATTGGATTTTTGTGGGCCTTCAAATGCGCTATTAGTAATTACTAATCAGCCGATGTTGATTAGCCGACGATCGTATGACTATCGCAGGACGTCGGTATAAATCTCGCAGCCATTTCGCGGATGCAGCGCGATCCTGCAATATTACAAGAATTGCGATTACCAAGCTTTTACGAGATTGATCACGTAATTTTCGTGAAAAAGAGAAAATGATCTTAAACATGACAACGTATTTAGTACATTAGTACATTGCGACGCAACCGCAAGCGAGGCGAAAAAGAACGATCTGAAAATATAGAATACATTTTTGTAATTCGCACAGTTTTCAAGAAAATGCAATTTTATATGTAAAAGAATCTAAATGTGTTTATTTGATTGCATATCAATATCCTCGTGCATACACATCTGTTGACGTGTATAAAAGATAATACGATAAAGATAATAAGATATTGAGTTACAATATTATTATGTTATACAATATTGTGTAATTTTTATAATGACGAGCATTGATATCGTTATTTCTTCTTATTGATCACCGGAAATAACAAGATATTCACAATAAGCGCAAATATTTTGATATATTTATGACATCAGCAGCTTACGGTTAATGCTGGTCCAGTTTACAGTTTAATCATTATAAATAAAGTGAACATGCGTGTATACATATACGTATTTTATGTTCCTGATAATGCGAGCGTAACATCGCATAATATTTGAATCTAGATTTAATGGCCGGTTTGGCGATTATACGAGATAGATTCGAAATAAGTTACGGAAAGCTTGTCAGACTATTTCGAAAGTCTGTTTATCGTCTCGCACAAATTGTGCATACAACGTGTTGGCAGCTCATATCTCATGCCATTATACTTACATCTTACGTATGTTTTACGTACACACGCGGAAATATTAAATAATATTCGCAGAATTTATTGTACGACGTAACTGATGATGATACCATCAGGATTTATGTTTTCATTACGCGGAAGGGTATGACGTTGAAACATCTTTTACATCTTTCGTTTTCCAACCAATCTGCGCATGTGTCTATGATCGGTCTAAAATTATCGCGGTCCAAATTTACGCAACAATTCCGAAGTTTAATTTCAAAATTTTGAATTTTTGATTGTCTTACACAGTTTTTATATTGATGTGAACAATGTATTACAATATTACAAAAATGTGTTATATTATGTCTACACTACAAGTTTTTGCGAGCGATATCGATCCGTAACGACGACGCAATAAGAAAACTTTGTTCGAGCTTTCGAGTATTAACATGCATCTGTCAGTTTGTGATGAATTTGAGTTTAGGAAACTCACAGACCGGAAATATCAATCCAGCTGCAGTGCTGCTCATATAAAAAACCTGATTGCCCGTTAATGAAATCCGTGAATTAAATTTCACCGACAAATCCTCTTTATGTAGAAAGTCTTCGTTAGACTATTTCGATATATTTCGGCGTGAGGTCACATATCAGCTTATGAAGAATGCGGCTATTTTCAAGATTTTCTCATATATCAAAGTTCGCCTATTATTCCATCTGTATTATTCCGGTAAAACTCCAAGCAATATCCAAGTACTTAATGCTGAATTTAAAATAAATTCCTGATATCTGTTATTGATACGTTTTGTTCGAAAAAGATAGAACAACTGGAAAACAAGTTTAATATTTCTATGATTATATGTTCCGCAATTTATTTAAGTATGAAAAAGCAAGGCAAATTATTAGTCAAGAATTTGTTTTACGATTGTTTCGTCTGACTCTAAATGTATAGCCAATAATAAACATTTTAATTTATATGACACATGCCTTATTGCATTTAAATTAAATTATATCCTAACATCTGTGAGAAATAAAAATAAGCAATCAACAATAACGTCAATATAACGTTTGCAGTAATATAGTGATAGAAAATGCAATTAAGCTTCTATGCACCGTTCGATTCACAGCTTGTACATTAAATTTCAGCATGCTCGGCGACCCAATTGTTCGAGTTTGGTCACGTTCCTCCGAAGAGATTCGCCGTCTCAAAGAGGAATCGCTTTATCGAAGCGAGCGACTAGGACAGAAATAGCAAGGTAGAAGAGAGAGGAAGGCAAATTCAATGTACAGCTTCTTAACTCGAGGACCATTCTAATCCGGTTGACCGCCCAATTCCGCCGCGTATAGTTCTCCGGCGCCGACTAAAACATAAATTCTTCTGCCGTGTTATCCTATAGTAGTTGCTGCCATCGTCACCACCGGAAAGTCGATGTTTCCCGGTGAAAAATCGGTGTTGAAATTCATGATACTTCTCGTTTTCGAAACTTCTGCAGTACAATGCAGTTCTTATCAACGGACAGATAATCTGCCAGAAAAGAGATAATCGCATTCACGTTGCCATATAATTCAATGATTTATTTTTCGATATAAAGATCATTAAACAAATTTTGTTGAACTCCTGGATATTCATTTTTTATGCTAGAGCATCATTTATTGAATAAAACCATCTTTTACTCTGAATTTGTCCTAATGACACTGGTGTATGTTAAAAAAGAAGCTCGAAGTCAAGGAATAATCGCGGTGATAAATAAAAGAAACCGGCTTCTTGTGTGTCGTGATAACGAGAAGGCTCCGTTTGCACTTAGTTGCTTTAAAATGAAGAGGTCGTCAAAGGAGATCGCAAAAGAGGGTTGAAATTGTTCTTGGACTGAAACGTCGAGCAGCAGTTGTGCCCGAGCGAGCAAGCAAGCTCGAAAAGTGCTCGTATGAAATGCAAAACTATCCCGGGGAAGCTCACTACGGTACGCACGGCTAAATTGTGCGGCCTGATAAAAGAAGACCTCGGAAAAACATTCTCGAGACCGTAATTGTGGGTTATATATCTCATAGAAGAGAGACAGAGAGCGAGAGAGAGAGAGAGAGAGAGAGAGAGAGAGAGAGAGAGAGAGAGAGAATATAGTCGCTCATTAGCCGATCCATGACCGCTATGGTCTTAGATCGTTTATATGAAGAGAAGAACATTATTTTCTCCTAGATTTTTCTCGGAAAAGCTACTTTATATGTGTCGCGAGGGATATCTTTTAAAGCATTTTAGAATCTTTTCGTTGCTCACACTGCCTAGTACTTTCTATGCATTTTTGCGATTAATTTAAACATCAGTGCCTTTGTCCAAAACAATATTAGCGAAATGAATTTCGCGCACGTCTAGGATGGTTTTCTAAGACTCCAATATCTTATTTTCAAAAGTCGGCCGAACGCAAGAAATTAAAGCGTGATAACGGTCAAGTATAATAGGTTTTGTCCGAACAACCATTGAAAAAATTTACATTCTGTATATTCCCCGGTCTCGCTCTGGAATGAAGAAAAAGAGTTACCAGTAGGCTTTCCTCTTGAGAGCCCTCGAGCTTACTTCGCCGAGTTCTTTAGTAGTTGTTTCCATTCATGAGCTTGCAAGCGCACGAGGCACTCGCGCCTTCTAATTTGAATAACAGCCTTGCCTGTACTATTTTCCCGGGAGGCCGCGGAGCTACATTGTGCCCACGGGAGTCAACCATTTGTCAGGAATCCCCTCACGGGAAGGTGCAGAGAGGTTCCTTCGGACGATGCCGCGTGGGACGAGGATGTCCTTTAGCGAGCGAACGAGCGCGTGATTCAGCTTACAGCAATTACCGGGGAAACTGACATGTTATCATCCCTACGTACTTCCGGGAAAACTCGGTCTTACGAGTCACCCTTCACCAATGAAGTTTCCTCAGCTATCGCGAGATATCGTGATGAAAATTCCGAGAACTTTGGAGCATCGATTCCGATTAGGAATTAATTATTGACCGAATACGCGACAGTCCTGGATATTAGATAATAGGTTTCTGACTGAATTCTATATTTCTGACTACGTCGACTTGTTGCAGACGCGGCGTCATATCGACAGACTGAAAATTTCATCCCGCAATATGTTGACGTGGGTGAGAAGCCGCGGTTAAATTGCCTTCATTGCGACATGGAGTATTTACATTAAAGAACGGCGGTTTTGAATATTTAGGTGGAGAGGTGACGTGTAATACTACGGTGCTTCATGGAGCTGCTCTGCTTATAGAATGTCAGATATATTCTCGCGAGCTGCTCTCGCATATTAATTTCACCACGTAAGTTAGTCCAAATGATACGAGTGGTACAAATGATGAAGGGACCGAGGGTTGGTCACGGCTGCAAAAGGCCGAAAGACCGAAAGATTGAGAGAGAGAGAGAGAGAGAGAGAGAGAGAGAGAGAGAGAGAGAGAGAAATATGGATGAAAGAGAGAACATAAAAGTAATGGAAAAATAAAACCAACTAGGTAGGAGTGGATTAAATTGGTACAGCCTGCGAAAGGGAGGAGAAACGAGACGAGCGAAAATTAGTACGGGGGAGAGTTACGATACAATAAAGAGATCGCATGAAACGAAAATGAGAAGTGAAAATTGCCAGTCAAGCAGCGATGATGAAAAAGATCTATAATATTTACCCTCGTAGGGAAAATTTCTCGCTACCGCATTTCGCACATGTAATCTAAGAGAATCGTTCCAAGAATAGATAGGAAAAAAAAACATTATATTTCTCTTTGTCAATTAACAATTTTTTAAACTAAGAAAGATATCGTAAGTAATTAATAGTTCTTGCATGATAAATACAAATTAAAATCGGAAAAATTATAAACAAAACTGTACGTTTGTATATGTCTCAAGACCGATGCATAAAAAAAACTGCGCGCATCATATGCGGAACTTGAGACAATTTCGCCGAGATTCTTGCACAGACAGCATTTTCGAGAAACATAATCATCCCGGAGCGAAGCTACCGCGGACGGAAAAACGCAACCACGGGGCTCTGGGCGATCCTCTTAAACGAACGCCCGAGGGCGACCACGCTCGTCTCACGCTGGAAAATGGAATCACAAGATAATAATCCCGAAATTCAATTTTACTCTTCCTCATCGTCGAGTAGAGAGCCGTGGTTGCCGGCGGTTGACTTCGTCAAGAGCGAAGATCGCGAGAATCGAAAAGTCCTGGCTGACTCGATTCAACGACAAAAGCGATCGGAGAACTCGATGTTGGACTTCTGATTCTCGTCGCGGTTTTATTCTGCCTCATAACTCTTTTATTCTCGTATATCGAATATTTTCGCGGCTAGACCAAGAGAAATTTCTGAGCTAGGAGAAAGAAAAATTTTTCGATCAATTTGCTGGCGATGTACTCGAGATTTCATTATGATTCTTGAATTGAAACGCAGCTATGCCACTGGCATACCGGCAACTTTCTCGATATGCTTCATTTTCAGAAAGCATAAAATATCTCTTGCGATGTAATACATATTTATAGCCCAAGTTTCCATGATGTTCGATAGAGCGTACATTCGCGAGGATGAAGGAGTGCATCGTATGTTTCCATTTACAGATGACATCTATGTTGCCATGCATATATAGATAACCGTACTATTTTTTCCCATTTAAATTTTCATCCCTTCCACGTTACAGACTCAACCCTGTATATAAAATATTTTCTTGATTATTAAATTAACTCTACTTTTTCTCGAGCTAATAAGGTCGATAAAATGTTGAAAGTATTTAATAAGATCGTAAAATATTTCATAGGCCGGTATTCATAGTCGGATCTTATATTTAAGACCGTCTTAAGTACAATCTTAAGATATTATGAATCAATCACAGAGCTGTATTAGCATCTTAAGACATTACTTAAGACGGTCTTAAAATAAGAACAGACTATGAATATCGGCCATAGACTTTCTAGTCTTTCTTATTAAAAACTACTTTTCATTTTAATACTTCTCGCTTTATTGTTATTCTAACATCAAGATATTCTTACATAATTAGGTTGTACTTAATATTTTTGGGTTATTTATTTAAAAATTAAAGTATAAAATTTCAAATTTAATACTTTTATCATAGATAAATACAGAGAGAAATTTAAAAGATACATTTTTGCGACCGCTTATATATGTTCATTTTTAGTCTTTTGGGGAGAAGGTAATTTTTAATTATAAAATTATTCTCTATATAAAACGTTAAATATAAAATATATTATATGCGGATGCGGAAAACTGCGAAAGTCATTTCTGCACAAAACGTTAATAAAATAAAGTTAATATTAAATACAACAGCATTATGCGACAATTAGATGATTAAACGAGCGTCGACACCTTTTGCGGGAAATGCAAAAGGAGAGGGCGTATGCAAGCTCCCGCGAGCTTTTACGATATAATATGCGAGGCAAGTCGGCCCGGTGAAAAACGAGAGAAGTTTTTCCGCGGCGTTTTACGCCGTGGCTGAAAACCGCGGTTGGTTCAAGGAGAACATTAAAAAACAGTTCGCGGCTTTATTATAATTTTCAGCGCGAGATAATGGACATTGAAAAATGTGGAACTGATTTACATGGCTAAAACTTCGTTACTCGAGCTTGCATTGATGAGTTAATGCGATTAAATTATAAAAGTTTTTATAATTAGTAACAACAAATGCACAACTTCCGGACACAATTATTCTCATTATTGTCGTTCAAGGATGATTAGCTGCACTTATATTATCACAGCTGCTCTATAAAATTATTACATCAAAGAAATCGAGCCGTTCAAGGCGATATATATCAGGTGATAGCAAAGTTCATTATTTTCCTTGAACTAAAATGGATTGCAACTGCAGTTTATTTCACAAATCGTTTTATATCTGAAACGCGACACCAAAGATCAGGTATCGAAACCACAGCCATGCAAACATAATGGTAAGTAACTACAACCTGGGAATTGGAGTTGCGGCTAGAGTAACGTGACCCTAATGTGGTCTCGCGAGCAGTGGGAGATTTCTGAAGTTACTGTTAATTAATTCTGTTAATTAATCTTTAATTAGGTAAAATTTGATTAATTAACAGAATTAATTAACAACAATATTTTTAAACATGAAACAATAGACTTATTAGAAGCCAAGAAGCAGGCATAACAAATGCGGTACTTTCTATTTGTAGAACATATTTGTATATTGGATCTAGCACTGGTTACTTATCTCAAAAGCAGGTTTTATGTGAAACCGTCGCAAACACCTTCCCACGTACAGCGCAATTAAAAAAATTCTTTTTTTTTTTTTGGAGTTGCGACAAATGCATTTTTCATGTAACATATTTTTTGTTTAAAACTTTGCGTTGCTGTACTATGGTACGGTGTTTTAAAATGTGGTTTAAAATATAAGATAATAAAAAAGAATTACTTGTAAACGTAAAAAATTTGCAAAAATTGTAAATTATAAACATAATTTATTGTGTACTCTTTCTCTCTCTGTATGCGTGTTTGTATGCTATACTAGGTATTTTATCTTATATCTTTTCTTTATGTAATCTAAAAAGGTCTAAGAATTAATTACGTTATTTATTATTTGTAGACCGGTCGACCACCGACGTATGAGGAATATTACGCGATGATGTCACGCTCGCACACTCCTCCGCCACCATGGTCCGACTCGACGACGACGTCTAACCCGACTTCGAGTATTCAAGCGCGACGCGAACTCTTGGCCAGCCAGCCTGAGTTTCGCGAGTATCTGACGCAGCTGGCGCTAAGTGATCGTGGTTCGCAGTATCAATATCAGTATCAGCAACAACGACAACAATCCAGAGATGCTACCTCGATCCCGAGGGAACAGCAGGTCAGAGTGCAACAGCGTGCGCGAGCAATGCCTCCCAGGTGAGTAGTCGAGGACCGACCTCTCGGCCGCGCCGTCGCGTCTCGTATCTCAGAGCCGCGGGGATCGCTCGCGGAATAATTCACGTAGTTTCTGGGGTGGTCATATACGACTATATGACACCGCCGGGAGTTACCTCGGCTCGGGATGTACTTGGCTACCCCGAGACATTTCGAGGTGCTGAGAACTAGTAGCAGGTTCAAAGTAATTTAGAAAAATGGTCGAGGCAGCGATTATGCAAATACAGAGCGCCCCGTTTCCTTCCCTGCATTTTTTTTCTCTGCAACAGCCGAGCAAATTAAAGGAAAAAAATGGCAAGGACAATTTCAAAGGTTCTTTAAAACTTGATACGAATATATTTTCTCGAACAAAGTGTTTGTGTGAATATAATCATAAAAATTCTAAAAATTATATAGTTAAAAGAATAAAATTTTTTTTTCACCTATTTTTTTCATTATATGTATAATGTAGTTCTGCCGTATAATTTTACGAGGCACACTAAAGCCCGTATTTATAGTCGTTACTCAGATCTCGTCTCAAGAGCGTATCAGGTGAGATACTCAAAATTGCGTTTTATATCTTGAGACGTGGACGGTTCAATAGTTATATTTTGATTAGAGTTCGACTGAGACTGTATTTATAATTATTATGTTAACATTAATAAACTCAATCTCTTTTCAAGTCACCTATGAACCAAAACTCACTTCAGATGAGTTTTTTGACAGAAACACGACTATAAATATGGACTTAAAACTTCATCTTTTCATCCTTGTAATTTTTAAAAACCATTAAAAACGTTTTCCAATCGGAAAAATTTAAATGTGCTTGCAGATCGCAGAGCGAGAGTCGTGCGCAACAGCAACGAATTGCGGCGATGTATACGGATGCTGCGTTTTGTATGGAAACCACGGTACTGCAGACGGCTTTCGATTCCGGCCAAGGATTTGCCCTCTGCAGCTTGATGTAAAAGAACGAGCAAGGACTTCGCTTCGACAGGAAGTTGCAGGAAGCCTGATACCATCATCAATCCACGATCGAGTTCATTCGCGAATGTTTCCCTTGATAGTCGAGCTGCGCTTGTCAAGAAAAGCGCTTGCAAAACTACTCGACTGTAGATTGATAACGTATTAGCTTGCTCGCAATTCATGAATGCAACGAGATGCGGAATTGTTGAAACGTCGCAACTCGGTGCTTTTACGAATTTAATAAATAAAGCTTCACAATTAGTATCGATTCCTGATAGTAAAGTATCGTTGCCTCATAAGTACATGTGAATATGTAAGTATCGAATGGTATCGATTCCTAAATGGTATCTACTTGAAAGTATCAATTCTCTAATTATTTCGTGGATACAATCGGTATCGATGTTATCTCAATTCTGCGCATTTCTGCTAGATATGTTCTTCATTTATAACAAATTGTTACTTTTGAATGCCTGTTACTTTCAGATTTAATTTTTATAGACAACTTTTTCCAGAAAATATAAAGTAAAGAAATATATATATATATATATATATATATATATATATATATATATATGTTTATAAATATAAATATTTAAAATAACTTTTAAAGTAAAGTAATAATAATTTATAATAAAACTAAGCTATTCTCGCAACATTTTCTATCATACGAATTATAAAAAGATTATGAGAAGTTGACTTTTTAGTTTTGATAAAAATTATTTCGAGGAGCGTGCATTCCCGATTTTTTCTTTCGTAGAATAAAACTCGTCAAATGACGAGTTTCGATACTTAACTTCCAATTTTCACTTCCCAAAAGATAGTGGTATTTGACGCCAAATAGATCTCCTTCAAGCTTTTTGCCTGAAAAAGACATAGCAAGCAACGAGACTATCGAACACGTATGAAAAAGCAAGCTTTTTATTCGCAGGGAATCTGAACTTGTGACAATGTGTCATAGAGCAAGACCCGGCATTTTCGCGTGTTCATAAAGGAAATGGAGAAAATTGGTGACTCGAACCGATCAGAGAAACTGAAGGCAATTGGAGATAAATCGGATATACAATTTTGCTTTTATTCCGTTCGGCCACACGAGGAACAAAGACGGATAATAAACACGCTCTAATTTTTCCCGATCGGCGAAGAGATTTTCGGATGACCGATGGTTTCACAAGTTCAGTTTCTGCAAGTCATACATCAACATCATTTAAAAACTACACAGGTACCCTACAGAGTTTCTCTATTAAATGGCGATTCTGTACTATTTTCAGAACAAAAAAAAATCCGAAGGAACTATCTCGCGTCAAACGTCATTACTATTTAAACCATTTAAAAGGATAGAAATTAAATATTGTATGCAAACTTAATACAATGTCACTTCTCCCGGAATTATAATTAAACTTAATTTATCTAGTTTGTTTTACAGTTTTACTGTAGTTCGTAAAATAGAGAGCATTGCGGAAATTTTAAAAACGGAAATTAATAACAGAATTTTATCTTTTATTGAATTGGAGAAAATTTTGTCACAAATAAAATTGAAATTTAATAACCACGATATTTGTTGTTATAAATTCAAAAGTTAGAAATTAATTCAAATTTCGAATTAAATTTTTTCTACAAAAATACCTTCTCTTTTGCAATAAATAATTACCATTTTGATAATTACTTCGAAATTGTTTTAGCTGTACCTTTCGCGTTATGCAATTTATAATTGGAATGTGTGTGATAGTAATTATAAAAAAAAAAACTTGTTAGCGGTTCTATTTTCATTTCGTGTATATTGTACTGAGTTGTCTCAAACTGTCGTTTAGCATTTAGTGAAAATTTAAAAATAAGCGAATGCTGTGGGCATTCGGTATTTAACATACATGGTCCTAACAACATACAAAACAGAAAGTAGTATGTAAAGTTGGTGTTAATCACATGTTACGTAGCGTAGCGTGACATGTGCGTTAAAGCGCGCAAATATCGCGCGTAGTAGTCACTATCGTAGATATAATAAAATAGAACAAATACACAGTTTTAGTCAAATGTGATTGATCCTCATATGATTCTTATGAGAAAAAACGTTTTCGATCAATTTGCTTGAATTTGTAATACGTGATATGTTGTAGTTCTCGTGTCCCTGATGAAGGTCTCAAATTTCATCAACTTTCTATGATTAGTTTCTGTGAATTATAGGCATTTGAAAATCTTCATAAGAACCTATAATTCAGAAATTAATCATAAAATGTTGATGAAATTTGAGACTTTTCATCAGGGATTCGCAAGAACTACAACATATCACAAATTCAAGCAAATTGACCGAAAAGCGTTTTTTTTCATAAGAATCATCATGCGGGGTCCTTTATGTACCTACTTATTGAGTTTAAGTTAAGTGAATCTCTGAGTGAACCTTGTGTATTACGAGTGACCCGTATGTTACTTTCTCCCATTATCTTATCGTTAAAAATGAAGTGGAGCAAAAATTAGTATTATTTAGTTATATAGTACATATAAAAAGTTAGAGATGTATAGACGGATAACTTTCGTATTACAATTCATCGCAACTCTTTAAACTTGTCACTATGTAACATAAAATCTATTTAAGATACGGAAACGTTATATCGAAATTTTTCCATCGGTTTTGTAATGTTTTTCTATCGGCGAGACGTTGAAACGTTCAAAACTAAGGACTGATGTTCACCATGGGACAGAATGATACTGACATCAAAAAGTGTTATCTCTTTCCTTATATTTTATTTTATCTTAATCATATATACATCATACACACATACACACAAGCACACATATATACGCATATACAATACATACAAAATGTTATATATTTTATATGTACATTTTGTGGTTAAATGTAAATATCGTAAAGTGTATTATTATGTGTGTAATTTAATTTTAGATAAATATAGGATTAACGCATATAAACTGGAGTATATTGCTAATTTAATAAATGGACAGTCTTGCCTTCCGATTAACGGAAACGGAGAGTTCATTATATCGGTCTATCGACGTATAACGAACTGAGCTACATCGCTATTACCTCATACTGTATGTTGTGTATATTATAAATGTTAGAGAATCAAGAAATATAAAATGTATCCGATGTAAAGTACTCCCTGAGCACTGATTATTGTTTCACCGGCTCTCTCCTTTATCTTATCGCAGCTACTTTGAAATATTAATGATGAAAGAATTCGGCATGTTTACCCTCTCCGGTGATATTTAATGAAGCAATTTTTTCCAAGACAAAAATAACATTCGTCCAGATACCGAAAATTATATCTTGCCTAATATAAAATCGGTAATATTAAATGTCATGAAATTAAAATTATCACGTGTGTTAATCCGCGCCCGATATAATAATTTGAGGTTGCAAAAATCTTATTGTAAATAATTACTCTCCAAGATGAATTGGAGAAATGTAATTAATTGCCTTTGAGGCGTGACCCGTTTGACCGAGAATATTTCTTATCGCGCTTGACCTCTTGGCTGATACATTTCGAAGTTCACCAACAATGTGATAAAATTGCATAAAATGCTTTGCCGCCGTGATCGGGCAATGACAAATTACTCGATATTAGCAATACAATTTTCTCATTTTTAAGAGTGTTCCGACACGCGTACGCGAAATAAAAAGAAAAAGGAAATCTTATCGCAAAATATTGTAGATAAAATGAACAAAAAATAAAAGTAAACCTAATTATATTAACATTTAACATTGTTAAGTTAATGTTTAATGCAGTTTACACTTTGCATTATTGCAGTAATATAACGAGCTTAAATACTGATTAAAAAATCACTATCGTTATGATTATTGTTACAAATGAACAAATCACATCGACAGCCGTTTCCTTTTCTATATATAAAATCCTAGATATGTAGTAGTTAAAATATTACATAAGTGCCATGCAATCTAAGATTTTCTTTAACCATTCAAAAATATCTCTTGCTACAGATAATACATACGGTAAAATGTGTAAGAGAGAAATTATTTATAGAAAGACGAGAAAATTATTATGTAAGAATCGGCATATTTTTGTTATAAGCTATTTAATTGATTTTTACGTCAACCATATTATGACCGCTAAAATAATGAAATCCATAGTGATAATATTATCTATTTAAATAAAATCAAATAAAAAGATGACTTGGAAAAAAGCTCTTGCTGATCATAATATTTCTTACCTTTCTGAAGTAAATAATTTCTTTCTTATATGTGTTCCTATGCCATCAACAGCGACGGTAATATTTCAGCTGTGACTAACTTACGTCGAACCTTCTGCATAAGTTTAGTGGGTTTATTTACACCGGTTCCCACTTTTGGTGTAAAATTTCGATATTTATCGTGCATGATGATGACGGCGACTCTCTACGATCCGAGCAGATTAGAATCCCGAGACCTTCAGGCCGTTGGGAATACTGTAGATCCTCTCGTTCAGCGGAAGCTCGCCAATTTTGTACCTCTCCAAGGTTGTCCTGGCGACGGCGGAGTGTCCGGTGCCAATAAACGCCAAAGTCGCGTCTCGTCCGGCGTATTCCAGGAGGACGTCCTGGCCGCCCGGGTGACTCTTCAGAAACTCCGTGCAGTCGTACACGTAATCATAGATCACGAGCCAGCAGTCACCGGGCGTGTCGTGCCAGGCAACCTCAGCTAAATTGATCGTCCGGAGCTCGTCGTGCGACTTTTCCTTCAGCCTGCATCTTCGCTCTCTGATGATATCGTTTCTCTCCGTGACATCATCACGCTCGACCTGCAAGTAGTCCTCCCTCGGTGGATTCACATCTCCTAGTTCGTGGGAGCGGACGGTTAGACTCACGAGATCCATGCTACCATGGGGTTTAGAAGCGCTCGTTCTGCAACACAAATAATACAAACATATTTTGCTATTTAAATAACTTTAAATAAAATTTAATTGTGATATATCGTAAATATCGTTTACAGTATATTAAAATAATCACGCATGTTTCTTCTTAACTTTATGTGCGCAAATAGCTTTTGCTAAACAGTACTAATATATTATAATAAATAGCTATATTAAATATATTACACGTCGTACTATCTCGTAAACAAAAAATCTCAATTTTCCAATAAAAATTTTTAAAATTGAATTAAAACTAAATAAATGGAGGAAATTTAATAAAAATAAATTAAAAATAAATATTTTGCTTAAACATTTAGAAGAAACAATATTGCGTAAACCAAACAACAGTAAGACAACGTTTAAGTAAGATATTTATTTTGCTTTTATTTTGCCTTTTTCTTCGTATTCTATAACTAATACGTTTTCTATTCACATTTACACATCCAAAAATACAATAAACGATTATTGATTGCGTTTCAATTGACACAGACGTACGGCGACGGCGCTATGATAAAGCAATATTTGCAGTAGCGGAAAATTGTGAACAACTGCACCATTAAAAGTACATTATTTTGCAAAAATGACTAGTGACAGTTGAAAAATACGATCGCGGGAGCACCGGAAGTATTGATTGCATCGATTGCGGAAGTAAACGAGTAGTCCACATATACCGATTAACTCGCGCGTCAGTTTACAGCAACCGTTTAAACAATCCCAGGCACTGTATATTCGGAAAACAGATTCGTCACACGTTAAATCTACCTACAACAGCGAGCGTTTCTGTTGATGTTGTCTGTCAAGGGACATCGTATGAAACACACTGAGCGTTGTAGACAGAAATCAATTCTCTCAAGAAAGGAGAGTAATTCTATTACCGGTTGAAACCTGATGCGTGCAAACTCGAAGTATCTTCTTGGTCACGCATTGCCGTAGCAGTCGAATGCGTTGCTTGGAAACAGAACCTGATTGTAATCCACATATGAATTTTCCGCGCTTAAATATAGAAAGTTGCTTTCTTATTGGGAAACTCTAATGATAAGAGTGAAGATAAGAAGTGTAGGAAGTAATAAGATTAGAAGCTCTAAATTACGTATCACAGTATCGCGTATCGTGAATCTTATACCGTTTCGCAAAATCGTTATTCCAATCCTTTCGGCGAAGTGTAATAATCTCCCATAAGAATTCCAAACAGTCTGATAGTTTGTTCGCACTGTTCGCAGCTCAGAGAAACAGAGGAAGAGAAACTTCAGCACCACAGCACTCTCGTAAAATTCTACACCACGCGAGAGCGCAGATTGACGATTTTATTTTTATTCCACGACGACGATAAGCAACGACCGGATTTCAGACACACTTTCAGTTGCACTTTCGTCAAATAATTGCGAAAAGTAGTGATTAAGAGGCTGCATTTCTTTTTTCTGAGGTACGTACCTACTGTTGAGATATTCGCAATGACGAGATTGTAACCAGCGTCTTTCGAAGTTCACACGTAAATGATATCAAAACGTTAAATCACAATCATTATATTATTATGTGTTGCTATTTATCAGCGTCATGTGTTTATAGTGACCTATTCCGTCAACGCTTGATACTAGAAACATCTCGTGAATCTTGGATTAAAAATTCTACATGTAGTATTTAATATCTCTGTAATTATATATCTTTTTATATTTTATTTTGATAATGTATTTCATCATGCTAGAATTTTCTGGTCAAATATAATATTCAACGAAAACGTTATCTGTATAATATATCTGTAAACGAAATATTCATCATAAAAAAATTAAATATTTAACTTCATCGAAAACATCCATTTAATAATCCATATATAATATTTTTAATATTTATATATTTTATATTATTACATAATGGTGTGTTTTATTCATTTAATTCCTATCGATCTTTCAAATTCTATATTACTTTGATAAATATTAGATACAATTTTATTATCTATGTAAAATAAAGGATATATAATAACAATAGGGAAACCCTCATAGATCAAACATAATTATGTATAATACACTCGATCGGTGTTCAGGCTTACTTTGTGAGATCCAATAATCTCATCAGTTGCTCTCAACTCATCGTTTCGTGTAAAGATACACGGTCAGTGCGTGCATGAACTTGACGCGAGACACGACCGTCGCGCGCATCGTGTCTCTTGATAACTAATAACATATTTCTATCCGCATTGATCTGATGAAACTTGTATTTATCATTAGTCTAACTGTGTAATGGAAACTGACGATAACAGATTTCACAACAATGTAAACATTAAATTAAGAAAGGAATACAGATAATATTAAACTGTCATAATTCTTTTTTCTTTTGAAAAAATATCACAATTTCCAAAGTTAATTAAATTGTATCAGTATAGTTTTTCAATAAGATTTTTAATCTTTAAACATGAATAATTATGAAATAAACGTGAGATTTGCGAGCAATCGTAAAAAGTATGATAGCAGGTATTATTTTTTAGCAATGTTTTTATTTTAAATTTCTGTATTTCGTAGATAGTAGTTTGCACAAATATATTACTATAGCGACTGACTTTTATAAATAAAAAGAGATAGATTGTGTTTTAACCAGCTGCCGATATAACGGAAAATTCAATGAGAGGTGTTGCCATCAAGTTCAAATGCGAGTTATCAGGAAACGCAGGTTACTCCATTCTTAGAACGAAATGATTTGTTTTATTCAAGCCCGATAAAAGAAATTTTATTATATCATTTTATGATACATCCTAATATAATTTAAAACAAAGTTAATTTGTGGATCTAACGTTTACATTTTTTAAATAAAAAAAATATAAGTATTGGACAGCAACAAGTCCAAAGCAAAAGTCATTATAATCGAGTTCAATGATAGAAGTTTAATAATATTCAATATTATTTCTATTGAATTACTATTGAAAGAAGTTCAATAAACAAAACGTGAGACATATACAACAGTAAACATGTTCAATAAATATAACGTATATTTATATATTTTTTATATGTATATTATAAACGGTTAAAGAGCAAGAGCTTCAATGCAATAACAAGAGAGCAAATTATCGGTCAACTATAAGGGGAAACTCGTCGAGTACGCTCGTCCGACCGCCGCATCGGGGCGTAGTAATGCGGTGCAGATACCAGTTTCACCGTCGACACGACGACGCCAGGCGTCGCGACGGCGCGACCAACAGCAGCGGCGTCGGCAGCGGCGGCGCACTGCGAGACTGATAGTCGTAATCATGCCACCCTGACCTCACGCACATTCCCGTAAGCACGGTGCGTGCGTCGAGGTCGCAGGGGAAGATCTTTCGCGTATCCGCGTCGAGTAGGACGAGGTGGACAACAGCGACGACCACGACAACGACAACGACAACGACGACGACGACGACGACGACGACGACGACGACGACGACGACGGCGACGTTGAAAACGGGATCCCCGACGAGTACGCGCACGAGCACGAAACGGGGGAAGGTCGACGTCGCAACGGGAGGACCGGCCGGTCGCAGACGACTCGTCGTCCGTTCTGGTACCACCGTTCAGCTCGTCTCTCCCAGTGAACGACGTCGACGGCCAAATGGTCGCGCGAGAACGGGCCGGAGACGCGCACGCGGAGGATCGCCGTGGGATCGACCCGTGTTCGCGCACGTGTCGATAAAAATTTCATCCCTGAGAAAAGGGGAAAAACGCGTGTACACGCGGTGGTGGAACAAGTCCCCTCGCGATTCGGAACGAGGTGTCGTTGAAAGAGAAACGCCGTCAATCGCGCGAGAACGTGCGCGAATATCGGTGCGATCGACCGCGGGCGCGTTCGATGATCGAGAAGCCGCATCGGCGCGGCGCATCGCGGATCTCATCTTATCGCTTCCGTGCGAGATCCGCGATGCGAGTCGGGGCGACGGAAAGATAACGTAACACGCCGCGCGCCTTCGTTACATGTGCGTGTGGAAGCCGTTGTCCTCGTGACACATATTAGGAAATAGGGGCGCCCCATACCCTTGCGTGCGCCGATACCGCTACAGTGAAGGCACTCGTCCGACGCCGAGGAACCGGCGCACGCGACGCCCGAAGGCGCGGACACGCCGCTGCGTCGTCCGGGTGCACCCTCGACAACCGCTACCGATAGGCGCGTGCCGGGAGATACGCGGTGATCCTGGGGGTGCACGTGCGTCCGGCGAAGGTCCTGAAAAAAGAGGGATGAGGGTGCGAGGCGACGCCGCCGGCGCTGTACGTCGCACGTGTTACTCGGACCGAGCCGGATCGATCGCCCGGAAGTGTGCTCGAGCCCGAGGCTGGTGAGGCGGTCATATGCGTCTTACTCGCCGCGTGCAGATTTTCGCGAGAGCGATCTTCGTGAACGAGCGGTCGTTGCCGATCGCGGTAACGTCGTCGCGGTGCCCGCGCGAATCGACCCTGCCCGCGATCCTGCCTTCTAGCCACGCGTTTCACCTCGCCTTTCCGCCGGAGTGCTGATGACGAAAGTGAATTTATTGCGTATATTATGGATGTACGTGGTATTATCTATGAGGACGAGTTGATTATTAAATTGGTGAGCAAAAGTGTTCGATGAAGTTCGATCCGCGAAGGCATTTGTCGTTGGTGCTCCATTGGAAAATGTTCGATTTGGATCTTTTGTGAATTTGAATATGTATTCGTTGTCTGTGGAAACGTCCTAAGATTTCGAAAGGTAGCTATCGATATATAGTAGTTTTCAGAAAAAACTTGCTGAAATTTTTTTTTCTATTAACTGGATGCTTTCTTTTTCTCTTCACGTTTCTCTTTTCTGGGAAATTCGAGCGAACCGCATACGAAATTGCGTCTAGGTGAAGGAAGGGTAAACTTGCGAAAGGAAGAAAACGTGAAACTTTTAATTGAGGATCCGATTTCTCGCTCGCTGACGGGGAGTTAATCGAATCTGGAACACGCTCTCTCGTTTCAAGCGGGTCTGCTCTATTTCGATGGGATTCCTCGATGCGGAAGTCTCGACGTCTTAATACATTCGCGATGCGAAAATCCGCCGGAGTAGCACGATCTCTTAAGCAATATAAGTGTATATTAGATGGAAACAGAGAAAGGGGTCATTTAACCATCGTTTATTAAATCAAGAAAGATCCTTTTTTTTCACATCGCACATCGTTCTGTCGCGATCAAATAATATTAGCGTTGTCATGGTAGGAAATACGTGTCCTCGGTTTAGAGACAGAATAACCGTTTTGGCTGCCGGCACATTAAATATTTCATCGTAACGACGGTGGCTCGTGCTTCTATTCTCTTTATTGTATTCGTCTGTCGACGATTCGACCTCGCCGTGCCGCCATGTGCCGCCACGCAATAAACAGACAGTTGTGCCACGGAGATTGTCTTCGCTGGCACAGTTTTCGTCGCCTTTTCAGGTAACAGATCCGCGCGAAGTGCAACGATAGCCGGATCGCAACGGCGTGGCTCTTCTCGGGGTTGCTCGTCGTAACCCTTTCTTTCAGAAAGACAAAAACGAGAGAGAGAGAGAGAGAGAGGGGCGGATTTTTTTTCTTTCCACGCCGCGCAACCAACGAGCGCAGCTCGGCCGTCACTTTTCGTTACCGTCATTATTAATAGCGGACACATCGATTAATTGATTTATGTTATAAAAAAGAATGGCACGCGTCAATAAATAATGGCGTGTCCCCCGCCTCGTCATCCCGGCCGTTCGTTTGCCGTCAATAGAGCGTAGCGAACCTCGCTGTAACGTCAGACTTGTACGGATCATCGACTCTGACTCGCCTCGGCTTTCAACGTGTGTACCCTCCTCTCCGGGCCCCCCTCCGAGGCCGCACTCGGCGCCTACCTAGTTCTTATCTCACGTTCTCGCGGGGGTGTAACTGACCGATATCGCGCCGCTACGCGCGCTCCATTAAAAATGTAGCCCGACAGAGACCGCAGTCTATAGACACACATTTGCGCGGCCGCGTGCGTGTCGTTGTACCCCTCTTTTTTTTCCTTTTTCCCGGCCGATCGAACACACCACCAACTCTGTTTTTTGCCTCTTTCCCCTAAATCGCACTGCGGGGACCGGTTTTTCCGCGACGGCGGAATCGCTAACTCGGAATAATCGGAGCTCGTTAACTCTATCAAGCCCGATCGACACACTCGTTCGCGCGATTTCACACGATTACGTCCCACGGAGAAGAGGTTCTCCTGAAATGTCAATACTCCGACAAATCGTGTCCTCTCTTGCTCGTTTAAAGGAAACACATCTTCTTCCGAATGGAACACATGGTCTCTCGTGAGTTACCTTGAAATCGTCATTCTTCTCTCGCGGCGTCGAGTATCGGCGTAGCCCCCGGAGGCCAGAGGCCGGCCGGCGATAGTCGCGGAGCATCTCGGGGCCCTCTCTCACCGGCGACCCGCGTTCCGCGAATCCTCGCAATGGTTTTCCGTGGCGGTGCGAGAACTCCAACTATTTATAAATGGTCCGAACCCGGTCGCATTGGCGAACGGCTCGAGTCGACGCCGACGGAGCTGCCGCCTCGTGCAGTCGCAGCCGCAGCCGCCTCGTGTGGTGTGGGGAACAATTCGCTACCCCATGATAAAAATAGAAGCTCCTAGCCAGCTAGCCGAACTCGAGGCTAGAGCTTGAAGCGCGCGCGACATCGCTCTAGCCACGCTAGAACGGATGGACAGACGGACAGACAGACGTACGTACGGACAGGCGCACCGGCGCAACCGGGTCTGTGCGGATGCTGACGATGATGCTAATGTCGGTGCCGTTGCTGCCGATGTTGCGCACCGACCGAGCTTGAACCACATCGTCCGCCGCCGTCAACGTGAAGAAAGCGCGTCCGCGCGCGCGCGCGCGCGCCCGTGCCCGTGCAAGCTCCACGTGTGTGCGTGTGCATATACATGCGTACTGAGAGTTCGGCTCCGTTTTCCTCTTCGTCTTACTTCTTCCTCGCAACCCGTCTCGAGATAGACTCAGTGTCCGCCGTAGTTTCATCGTGTGCCTAGTCCCGTGGATCTTAGTCATCGAGCGTTCCACCGTAGGTAGATCTCCTCGCGGATGACTCATCAAAGAGATCACGATCGAGTCTTCCTTTCCCGAAGAAAGCAGATCGGAAGAGAAGAGCTTTCGTGTAAAGAAGTCGTCGGAAAACGGACAGATCGAGCGGGAGAGAAGAGGTGTCCGGGACGAAGATAGGGAAAGAGAGCGAGAGAGAAGGAGAGAGCGAGTAAGAAAGAGGGAAAAAGAGAGAGAGAGCGAGAGAGAGAGAAAGAGAGGCACATTCCGAGCGGATCACGGATGCTTATAGAAGCGTTGCGTAACGGCGTCAGGCGGACAGCGAAACCGCGACTCTGTCGGGCTCGTTGTCTCTATAGTTTCGACAATTTCGAAGGGAAACCCGGTACGTCGGCGCGCGATTTCCATCAGCGGGTCCTCGCGAATCCTAGAGCGGTATCCCATGGTGATTGCCGTAGCGCCCGAGGACTCCGAGGAGTTTCCGAGTGCCGTGTGCATGGTGCTGGACGCGAATCCTCGAAGAGCCTCGACAAATTCCGATTCCGTTGATCCACGATCGCAGGAGACACGTGCGTGTACATGTGTGTGTACGTATGCGAGTGAGTGAGAGGTAGACCGACCGGGGTAACGGTATCTCGCCGAGGTGGCTCGAGGTGTTTCGTTTCGTGGTGGCGACGGTGGTTTGAGGCAGGGGTCGAGGATGAGGACGAGAGAGGAAGGATAGGAAAGTGCACGAGAGGGAGATCTCGCAACCGGCGTATCGATTAGCGAAATTGAGGCTTGTCAAGGCCGCGGGTCTCTCGGGCGGCTTTCTCGATCACCCGGCACCGGAAGAGAGAGAGGAGAGAGAGAGAGAGCTCCGCGTAACGTCCCGCGCTCGAGATCGAGAGACGTAGATCCGCGTTCGTCACGTTTGCGCGCTCTCGCACGTTCGGTTCTTCGAAGTTGTACTAAAATTAAATCCGGGGCTCCGTCCGGCGCGAGACTCTCGCTGATTCTTTTCTCACGTCCGGCTTCTCTCGCGCGGACTGCGTCGCGATGACAGGCGCGCCTTGAGGATTCGAGTGTCTCGGATCCGAGCGCGGTCCGGGTCCGGGTCCGGGCCGTACGGCGCGCGCGGGGTTCAACTAAAATCTTTCGCTAGGACAACAGCTCCGCCGCCGTGTACCGCTCGTGTCCCGCCACGTCTCGCAACGACGTCGACAATAGACGCGCGATCGTTACGGCGGATCAACGCTCGATTCTTCGGTGCTATTGTAGAGATCCGGTGGAGGCGGACGTGAGAAGACGACGGCGAAGGTGGCGAAGAAGACTACGACGACGTCGGAAGAGAAGGTGGCGGAGCATGGAGCGACGTACAGGACAAGGCGCGTGCAGACGTTGCTGACGAGCGAGCACGAGCACGATCACGACGACGATAACGATCACGACCAAGACGAAGACGAAGACGAGGGAAACGAAGGTGTCGACGAGTAGTAGTAGTAGGAGGCGAAGGCGGAAGAGAGGTACGAGGAAAGCGTGGAAAAAACGAACGACAGTGCCTGCGGTAACTGCGAGAGATGCAGCAACAACCGCACTCCGGCCAGCAATCGTCCGGGGCGCCGAACGGGGTGGCGGGGGGCGCCCAATTGCCACAAACAGGTGGCATAAGTCCGGCGCAACCTGGCGCGACCGGTACCGCCGCGAATCGCGCGCAAGTTAACGGGGGCAGATTCGACTTTGACGACGGTGGGACCTACTGCGGCGGCTGGGAGGATGGAAAGGCCCACGGCCACGGCGTGTGCACCGGGCCCAAGGGTCAGGGTGCCTACTCCGGCAGCTGGCATTTCGGCTTCGAGGTGTCTGGTGTTTATACCTGGCCTAGGTAAGTGACTGTGAGCGGTGGTAGTCGTTGATATCGACTACTTACTCGTTAATTTGTGCGCGGTGCACACTCCGTTAGACTGCTGCAGCAGCGGTATAACGGTGCCTTGTTAGCGTTTCGCATATTGCACAATACGCACGTGTCAACTATGCAGTTTACACGAGACACGAAATTATGGAGGATTACGATAAATTACTAATTTTCGTGATATACGTAATCCACGATGCTCGTCTAGCTGCGCGCGTTTCGCGGAACGAATTAATCTTGTATTCTCTTCGCGTTGGCGCACTCCCGGGATTTGCACAACGACCGCCGCTCCTCCGGGTTCGTGAAGGATTAATGCTGTGCTCGTTTGCGCCGTGACGAGTGTACGGTTTTCAGGCTGATTATCCGCCGGTATTACGTTACCGCCACCGCGCCTGTTTCGCGTTAACAACGTCGCTCGCGTAGCGAGGCAAACGAGTACCGAACATTACACGCCGCGAAAGTAACGTAAGCCCAACTCGATGCTATTTCGAGAGGCTCGGGTTCGGGTAGTTGTAGAAAATTCCCCGGTCAGGTCCCCGGTGAATCCCTATCGGACGTTTCATTGACGATTTTCATCAATTCCCGAGTCAAATTCACGAGACTTTTGGCGTCGCGTGTGGCCGTGTGGCGCGTGATGTGCGAACGACGGACCTTGACACGTATCTCGGTACATACCTGGGAGGGAATCTCCCGATCCCTACAAAACTGGGTCACCGTGCGCAAGGACAACCGGAGCAGGTCACCGGGATTCGCGTCGTCGTCAGGACCTAGTTCAGGGTCACGTGCACCGCGAGATAATCGCCGCCGAAATTTTCAGGGATGATCGCGAACGTTGATGATCGACATCCGCATCCACGCGTGCATGCTAAAGACGAAAGTCTTTTCTCAATTTTTGAAGAAATCAATCAATTTTAATTATTAACATGGAAATCTCCCCAATAGAGTTACAATCTTAGTTTCGATAAAAGAACTGCAAGACATAAATAAATGTTCAGATTCTTCGAATTACAGGTTAAAATGCAACATTGAAAATGTTAAAAGTTTCTCCTCGCGAACGATGACGTTATCGACGAGAAATATTTTAGGTCGTCGTTTTCTTTCATATAATTGAGCAAAAAATAGCAGAATGTGTACCACTATTTTTTATCTGTCGATCGATCCTGCTTTCAGAGTTCTCTACTCAAAATTGAAAAAACAAGATCAACTATTTATAAAGAGATTCCGGGTGATTCGTGAACACTCTATAAAATGAGGGTTGTAAAGTAATTGCAGAGCTACTCTGTTTGTTTCTCGACGATTAGTTTTACGAGGGGACACATAACGATGTGCAACAATTAGAAAAAAATGGAATCCACGTGCACGCGACACGAAAACCCGGAAAAACTTCAACGATTGTAATTAGGGTTTCTAGATTACGTACATAAATATTGTCGAGTAAGAATGAAGATATAACAATAGTAAAATATCATGCATACTGATTTCATTTATGATATTTGCAAAGGGCTAAATTGCTCGATATCAAAAATAGAATTTTTCAATATATGTAATTTAAAATTATTTAATATTTTATTATATATAATTATTATCGCGTCTTCCTATCGATATAAATTTTAATTCGTCGTTGTGTTATGTTGTGTACGTGTGATTTTTTTTCGAAATCATCTATTCGGATACTCGGAGATTTACTTGAATGTAAATTGATTTCTTTTGTTACTGCGGTTTCCGGAATAACCAACACAAAGAAAGAGAGAAAATAAAGTGGAGACAAACGATGAGACCTCTCTTTTTCCCCGACCACATATCTAGGCCGAGAGAATTCGCCGTTTCGTTTCCGTAAACTGGAGCAAGGTCCACGACCATCATTAGCTAGCAACATTTTCTGACACGACTTCATTCTCGATCGTGATGGTACTTGAAAACGAAGCCGTGAATTTCGCGACTTCGAGCACGTGTTACGGTCCACTATCTTTTGAAAAACGTTCGCTCCACGTGTCTAGAATTTCACTTACCATCATTTACTTCCGTTTCGTGATATATGAAGAACGCGCATTACTGATAATATCTTACGCAAAAGACTGCTTTTACCAAAATTATATGTATTACAAAACCTTGAAATTTACATTAGATTATTTAATTGTTCATTATGTAGCGCCTCAAGATGCAAAACGGTTCTTTTTCTCAAACGTTGTACAAATATAATTCAAACGTTATTTACAATTACATAATAATGCATAGAAACTGTAGTATCGTTAAAATTTATAATGTAATTAATGCACAACGATCTACGTAATAAAATGATATATAAACTTTTATCACGCGATAAATTTTCGTTAAATTAAAAGTTTACGAAATATACGACACTTATAGAATATTTCTGCAACAGTTCTCGCATCCGCGTGCAGCTTTTACATTTATGTAATAGTTATTCGCAAGGACTCGCTCGGGCAGGATTAAGCATTCTCTTTTAAAAGATTTACCATAGATGTTCATAAAATTTTTTTAACATTTCGTACAAACTATGACGATTAAAGAAAGTAATTAAGTTATATTTGATGCTAAATTTGGAAAGATTTTCTGCGACGAAAAGTAATAACAGAAAATAAGTTCAGCGTAAAAGTTATGCTTTAATCGCACTTGAAAGAATAACGCTCTCTCGATTAGCTCGCGCCGTTGGTTCCATAATTATAACTTTCATAAAAATATCTTAAAAGAAGGATCGTAGGCGGTGTTATCATTCTCTACGTTGGCACGAAGTGTTAAGTTCACATCGCCATTCAATTCTGTGTATCCAACAATGTGAAGGCAACGTCGTCGTCGTCATCGATGGCGACGCAGCCGGTAATTATTGGACGCGATAATTAGACGAGTTTTCAGCTAATATGCGTGGGCAAGGATAACGTAAATAGCAACGTGATCCTCGAAGCGTAACTTTTAAGGGTATTTTTTTTTGCGAGCAAACAGCAATTGAGGGGTGTCAAAGACTTGACGAAATTATCTCTATAGTTTTAAGTCCCATCTGCCAGAAAGCTGTTTTAGAAAATTAAATTCTGTAAATTGCATTTCAGCGGGTCCGCCTACGAGGGACAATGGCAGAACGGCAAGAGACACGGTCTGGGTATGGAGACTCGTGGCCGTTGGCTTTATCGAGGAGAATGGACTCAGGGATTCAAAGGTCGTTACGGGGTTCGGCAGTCTACTACCTCTACGGCGAGATACGAGGGCACGTGGTCCAGCGGCCTGCAGGACGGTTACGGCTCCGAGACTTATGCCGACAGCGGTGAGCCCCAAGTCTGTTTAATACGTTCACGATCAACGTGATTTTTCTCTCATAAATCTCACAGAGGACGTCCCTGAATAAATGAACAAATAGCAAGCTGTCCTTCATATTGAGGTTGAAAACATATTATTTTTATATAAAGTAATTCTATAGAAAATATTGCACACCTGGAAAGGAGTCGTTTCGGACTATAATTATTTGATTTTATTTATTTCTAACAAGATGAGTAGAATACCCTCCCAAAGTTGAAACAAAGTTGAAACAGCTTGTATATTTCCAGGAATGTACAAACTGATAAAACAACTTTCGAACGATACAGTTTATCTGTATCGATCCGTAATAACAGTTATATATATCACGTGTGCGTGTATACCAATATATTATACTTTTATTTGGTTGTGCGGTCGGACAAAGTTTGGCTTTATTGATTTCGCATTAAATGTAATCGCCGTTAATAAATGGGCAACTCCATTTACGAATGAAATATTTTGTTGGACGTTATAAAAGCGCGTTGGAAATCCTCCTAACGTGCTCGAGAGAGCCGGCCTATAAAGCGAGACATCATCAGTAAATAAATCACGTAGTTCTTTTAATAAAGCTTCGCGAGGTTGACTTGGAAATGCGATAAATAAACAAAACAAGAAACGAATGTGGCAGAACGCGTCGTCGATTTCGCATTATCTCAGTGAGATATTTAGTTGCGCCAAGATTGATGGCCGACCTGACGCAATTGAGATGCGTCTACAAAAATTGATGCAGTATTTAGAGAGCGATCTTCTTCTTCGCCTCGAATTTCTCTGCTTACAAAGATGCCATTGCCGAACAAATTATCGCGGGGTTTTGCTCGAAACGCTATCCACTTAAAATTACATAAAAGGAACACTTATATTCAATCGCGTCTAAAGAATCGGTCCTACGGGTGGATAAATCAATGACAAGGTATTCGATTTTTATTGTCGTAAATCAGACGTAAATGAAGCTCGTGGGGAAACACAATCGCAACAGATATAACGCCGCTCGATCAATATCGCCTGTGAAGGGAAAGTCTTCTCGAGGAGTGCCAGGATTGATGATTCTGCCGCGCGACGATTGCGACGTTCCTGAAAATCGATGCGACCTTCGATAGATTCTTACTCGCTCCAGTCCTTACAACTTGTTTATTCGCTTCTTTTTTTTCTTTCCGATAGGACATCCCCCTCTTGCACGATGCAGCTTCTCAACCTTCTCACCCGCTATCGCAAGCAGCATCGCAAAATTCAATACATCTTAAACGTCGTTAATCGATTCGGTCATAATTTCCCCGTTGTTGAATTCTAATTTGCCGAATTCATTTAACGTGAAATATCGTCAAAGGCAATTTTCTGTAGTCGCTCTAGTTACGAATAAATGACATGCCATTCACTACGACCAGCGAGGAAGGACTATTGTCTAACGGATCGATTAGCGCTGGTGAAACATTATAAAGTATTCACGTGCTATCTACCGTAAGAGATCGCGGCGTTGCACATTCGCGTAACAAAAAATATTACCGACGTATTAATTAAACGCGTTATGGCGTTCTCAGACCTGCCGTTTTTCTCGGGATAAACTTGCTCTCATTCAGACCGTTCGCGACAGATGCCGGATCTCCAGCGTGTTTGTGAAAAGATCGCGAGTAAACCAAATGGGAAATTTCCTCCCGTAACTCCGCGCGGAAGAGTTTCGCCGTTATTCATCTCACGGCTACGAAATACTTCGAAACTGCACGTAAACTCGAAGACGATATTCTCGCGATTCCTTCATACTGTTTGGAAGAGACGATTGGAACGTAGGCAAACTAAATGCAGAGACTCTGCGTGGTGCAATATCCTCCCTCTAATGAGTTTATCTCGTATAATATTCCTGATGCATCCCGATCGCTGATCATTGAGATCTTCCGCGTGAGGCACCGGAATTTAGAAACTGGAAATGCTCTGACACAGCCACGTCACGTCGAACACGCGTGCGTACATTATGCTCGCAACGAAAATAGCACGTCCGATCGCTCGACGCGAATCAGTCGACTCGATATTTATCAAACGCCACAGGTTTCCCGATCGGACTTAATGCTATACAGTTCGAATGTATCTTTAATGAGTCACTATAAGTCTCTTTCACCCCTCCCGCTAGATCGCGGTCGATTTAACCGTCCCTTTTTCTGTCACGTAATACGTTTCGAAATATATTTGTCTTCCCGGATAATATATATATCCCTTATTACCCATTACAATTTTCTGAAGATGGACCGACCTAACATCTGAAAAATGCGAGCAGGCTGATCGTTCAGGGTCTATATAAAACGCCAAGAAACATCGGGCAGAATGAATTACGATAAAACATATCCGCCAGTACCAGCCACGCTCACTCTTTCTCATCCTCTTTCGAATGTTTTCCATCTCTTCTCGCCCTTTGCAACGGAGATAAGTGAAGTGCTGGCGCGCTATTTCGACGCGAAATCAAACTGCCGGGACGGCAGTCTCCTATCGTGAATGGACCGGATGTCGGGGCGTTTATCGTGAAGAACGCGGTTTATGTACGCCATACCGGTGTATGCATCATGCTTAGTCGACAAACGTTCCGAGAAAGAACAAGAATAATTGCCAACGGATTGAACAATTTTCAATACATCAGTCGGATATTTTCGAAAGAAAAGTGAGCACCCTATATCTTCGAATGATTCATGTCAATTTACCCCATCCTGTGGAGTAAATTAAAGTGATTCGGTATTACATCAGATTAATCTGTCGTTAGGAAAGAATGCCGCCAAATTATCTCAATTCACCCTACGGGGGACGAATCATTTTTTATATCCAAATTCTCTAATTTGATACGACTAATTTATTGTCAAGCACGCATTAATTCCATCAATTTGACTTCATCTGCTATTATATTACATCTATTTCGTTGAAGATTATCTTCGAAGATGAAATCACTCACTTCGAAGCTTTTTAAACATTTGGCTTGTGACGCAGAGTCGACGATATCATAACGGGTTAAAAAATCGGTTAATTATTTAAAGTGCTTCGTTAGTCAGTGTTCCTTTGACGAGTGTAAATTCTCACATCGAAGACAATATATAGACGTTTGTTTGAATGTCTTCCGGAGAGATTTCTAAAGATTAATATTTCGGTCACCCCGGCATCGCTACACGACGTTGCGAAACAAGATAATAAGACGAGCAAGGTGCAGCACGTGTATGCATGTCGCGTGGAAAAGGGCGAGTCCACGTAAACATGACGAGGGTTCCCACCTACCCTGACGCGCGCGGGCGCGCCCAACTTTTCCGCGAAGGCGCCGGTTGGTTCACCTCCTGGTTTGAACCTCTCTGCCGCGGGTCAAGGTCACCCACGTTCTTTCCGCTCTCCGCCCGCCGATTCTACCGGCCGCGGCGTCGTGTGCAGAGCACGGCTCTCTTCTACGTTGAAATAAAATCTACTCCTTCTCCGGTCCCGTTTGTGTGCGCTGCTCTCGCAGCCGTCACATCGTTGCCGTTGCAGCGCTCTGGTTTCTTTCGTGCCCTCACTCGAGATTCCATTATACCAGGGCGGACGTCTCCGCGTCCGTTTAGCTACGGCTTACACATTTATTTTTCTTTCCCCTTCGTCAACCCCCCGATCGAACATCTCCGTTGTATTTTCCGTCATGAATTTCCTCTTGTCATTTCACATCACCAGTCAATATTTACAACCTGCCCGAAGTAATTCGTTCATTTTCATTCATGATTGCATTTACGTAACATACATAATAGCTAAATTAATCTAAGCATACGTTAATCATTTCACGTTCATGTAATTTTGGTTGACAGGAGTGGAGGCGAGAAAAACGAGCGTGACAGAGTTCTTTAAATATTTAAGTTGGGTGTAGAATTTTTGCTATTATTAACAGATTTTTGGATAATTTAGAATATCGTTTGACGAGTAATCCAAAAACGAGTTTAAACAGTTCTATATTTTCCAAAAAGCTATTGCAATAAAAACAAGAAAAGCAAAGTCAATCGTTAAACACGTAGATGCGCATAGATTGTACGCTCTCCATTATATACTCCCACGTACTTTCGGCACGCATTCGCTTCTTTTAACGTACACAAAATGCGACACGTGAATCGGGACACGTGAACGCAAACGTATCGACGATCATGCAAACATCAGCAGTCTATGTTTCGCTGTGTATCTTTGATACAACCGTATCGACAGTGCGTCGTTTGAAATCCCAGCTTTATATTTCGACGTTTCAACGAATTTGAATTGCTCCGGTTTTATACTTTCCGAATCCGAAAAACTTTTGCAATATCGTGCGTGATTATTCGCACGGCTTCTCGATCCTCGATCCTGTCGAATAATTGACAAAATGCAAACCGACGCGGCATTCGCGCTTATCATTTAATCGCATCGCTTTACAGCGTGCCGAGTAAATTGCATAATCATTACGTAACGATAATATCTTTCGTCTCGTAATTACATCTCGAATGAGTGATTGTCGTTACATGCCATAATTCCAGTCTGTTGTAATTAATTTAGAATTAACACAATTACGAAGCGGGTACCACTCCTCGCTGATGCACAAGCCGTGCTACCCGGTTATTTATTTGAATAAAAGAAGCTTCTCCTTAATCACTTGGATAACGATGGTGCGCGATAATGCGCGCTTCCGAAAGTTATTTCCCGCGAGAATGAGTTATTTCCTCCGCATGCGAAGGCGACCCGGCTTTTAACCGCGAATTAACATACTCCCTTAACGATGCCTTTGAAAAATGTGCGAGGTGTCTCGAGGAGCGTGCACGAGCGGCGAAACTGCCGCTCCGAGTTGATGAACGTCACCCAGTTGGTGTCGCCGCAAACCACGACGAAGAAGAGCAAATGTCGAGATTTATCGGCGCCGAGACACGGGGAGGAGGATCAACGCGCGTGCAATTATTGTCCCTTAATTAAAGGCTCCGGGGCTAAAGGGTATTTGTGGAAGCAGAAAATCGCGCTCGTTTCGGC